GGGAGGGAGGGAGGGAGGGAGGGAGACTTTCTGGAGTTTGAATCCAAAGCTGAATCTGGCTTCTTTGATTCATCTGGGGTAGATTCATTGCATTGACCTAGTTGACTTGGGCATCACGTCTTGAGTTTATAAAACTTTTTACCCCTTTCTCATGATTTCTATAGGTGGTCCTGCTTGAACCTCCTCCACTGTGTTAAAAATAAAATAAAAAGGAGTTCAAGACAGATAGGACTGGTCCTAAAATGGAACTTCTTGGTGTGGACTTGTGACATACTCATCTCACAGCTGTGAATAAAGTAATTTCTTTCCTTTGTCCTCTTTGGGGAATTTACACTTATGAAATACAAAAACGTAGTTTCGGGAAGAAAAATATCCAACTTGCCATTTAGAGTGGGAGTCAATGAAGTTGGAGTTCATTTCATGAATTGTGGATTAAATATTCAACAGGACTCTGAGACAGAGCAGAGCCAATTATTGCTAGCTGGGAAAATAAAGATTCCAGTTTAAATAAAAACAAAACCCCATAAATTAAAAAAATGCTTGTTCAAAGACAGGCCACTGGGACCACCGCCACTTTTTAATTTACACAACCCACACTAGCTGTCCTGGTCCATCGAATTCCCCAAGTAACAGTCCAGGTCTGTGCTTTCAGCAGTATAGACCCAGATGTGTGTGTGTGTGTGTGTGTGTGTGTGTGTGTGTGTGTATTGTGGAGTGTGGGGGTTCGTTATGATGTGTGAGGAGGAAAGGCAGAACATCTTTAAAAGGAAAATGTGCAAACTTCTGACTTGAAGGAGTGACCCGCTGCACTGGGCGATACTGGGCGCAAATTGAGCCTTAAAACCAACTCAGAGATTGAACATATTGTACTGAGATGTAGATGTAAAACACGAACGTAAGCAAACCAACCAACCTACAGTCCGGTATTTTAGAAGGGTAAACAAAGGCGGGGACCGGTTAAACTGTGGATTTCCCCCCCCCCCCCCCCCCCAGTTTGTGTAACTAGACGGTCAGGATGAACAGTAATAGTGTGCGTTTGGGGTTTTTCTGGACACGGTGGAATGGTAGAACAGAGCTCGCCAGCTTAAGGCAGAGATGCGCACGCGGGCTCGGCACCCCGCTGGGTCGGGCTTCCCGGGCAGCAGCTGCGCCCTTGGGGTCCCGGCGCGACTCCAGCGGGTTTTGTACTGCAGGTTCCAAAAGGAGGGTCATTCTCGGTAGCCGGAGGCAACAGAGATGTCCGCAAGTTTCCGGGCGCAACCGCCGCCGCCCGCCCCAGACACAAGCACCGCTCCTCCGGCGCGGGTGGCGGTCTCTGCTGCCACCCCTGCCCTGCCCCAAACCACTACAAACGTAATTAAAGCCTAGGCTGTCGGCTGAAAGGCGCCCAGTTCTCCCAAGCGATGCCCCGCTGGGCCCAAAGCCGCCGCCTGCTCTGCAGTCGCCCCAAACTCCACCACCGTCTGGAAGGGACTTCTAGATTCTGCGTTAGTCACCCTACGGACCCGGAGCTATGGGGTCGCAGGTTGTCCCCAGTGTCCCGAGGGGCCAGCGGGAGGGTGCCCTCACCTCGGCGTACCACCCTGTTGTAGAATCATTATACACACAAACCACCTCCCGTGGGTCACTAGGCTCTGAACTTGTCACAGAGGAGGGGGGAGGTGGGACGCCACCGGCGGTAGTCTGATTTGGAGAGAGCAGCGGGGAGCTGGGAGAATGGAACAATTCATTCGCTTCCTGAGGGGCATAATTTGGGTGGCAGCTGTTACTAGTGAAAAAAAGCCGGCGTCCGCGACCTTGGCTCTGCCCTTTAACCTCGAGCCTGGGGGCTGACAGTCCGGGCTAGATCCTGGGCCAGTACTGACCCACAACCCCTCCGGTGCTTTTGGCGTCTTTCGCGAACATCATTGAGGTGTAGTGGATCAAAATATTCTTAAACGGGGGGGGGACCCCAGCAGTTTCAACAGTATGTGCTGGAGGGCTCCTCAGCTGGTCCACACCCTCCAAGGAGGAACCTGAGGCCTTGGCCCAGTCGGAGCAGAACCCCACAAAGGACAAGATGGGACCGGGAATTGCTTGAGTTTCACAGATTTCTAAAAAGATCAGGCCCGAGTCGAAGACTCTGGGTGATTAATTTTGGCAGGGGCCAAAATTATCCATAAAGTCTTCATGGAACAGAGAATTGCTAGTTAGAAACTGGTTGCTTTTATCACTACCAGTTTCTCCCCTCCCCTCCCTCTTTTGTTGTACAACTTCTGACCTGGCTTTTTATACAACCCAGGCCTTCCATTTTCTGATACCCAACAGCACTGCACGCCTCCACTCACCCCTTCTAAGCCAATTGGGAAGGCCAAACCTGAGGCCTGGGGTTGGGGTACCCCGTCAACAGGACCCCAAGCTCCTCTCCCGCAAACCAACTACTCCAGTCCCAACACACCCGTCTGTGCAAAGAGGGCAGGAGCCCCTCACCCTCACTAGTTTTCAAGCTAGTCTCCGCCGTAGAGAGAGATCGGATCTCATTGAGCGCGATCCCGCCTGCGCAGTCTCTAGTCGCGGTTTGCCCCTGGGGTGAGGGAGGTGACGCGCACGGGTCCCTTTCTTTGGAGAGTAGCTTTCTCTAAAAGCGCAAGCCTCCAGCTCTGCGAGGCTAACACGCAGCACTGCGCTGTGTCCTCTAGCGCAAACTCTCGCAGTTCATCAGAGCGCTCACCTACAACCTAGGGGAATCCGGTCGAGGGGGTCGATAGACGCTCAAACCCGAGTCTAAATGGGGAGGAAAGTCTCCCGAATGTGATCCAGGCATATTCGCAAATGCCCGGTGTGTAATGAGGCCGGGTGGCCTGGGTACAGGCGCTCGAAGTGCGGAACAGCTGATTGTCTCCTCCACGGCAGATGGTCTTTGAGCACAGATTTGCATTCATTGTCTTCAAATCTGTTTTCGCGCTGGCGTTCTAGATTTCAGCAGCAGATCTTCGAGCAGATCAGAATACAAAAGGAGAAGCCAAAAAAATAACACCCAGCCAGGAGGATTGTTTTTAATAGGCACCTCGAGCTGCCCGGCGTAGTTACAAAGCGGTCTAGGGTTTCCGCTGTTTGGCGGAGCTGCTGCCGCCTCCCGGCCACCAGCCCGCGGCCACAGAGCGTGATGCACAAAGTTTCCCGGACTCCCTCGCAGCCTCCGCCGCAGGGTCCCCGGGGCTTCGGGGGACTGGGGAGGAGAGAGAAAGGGGGTTCCCGGCACTGCGCCCCGCAGCTCTCAGCCCGCCACACGTGGTCAGCAACCTCTCTGATATGTGAGTGGCGAGCTCCCGCTCGCTGGTGGGTGTTTTCCTTCGCATCTCCACCGTTTCCCCCACGCTGTATGTGTTTGAAACCGCACTTAACGCCTGGCTGGTCCACACCGCACTCCTTCCTACATTACTCCCTTTTAAACAACTTGCAACCCTCACACAAAATGAGTGTCCCCCTTGGAACCCCGGGAAAGCCGTTCGGGGCGTTGGATGCTCTGGGGGAGTGTCTGCACAGACCATGAGTGCTTGTGGGCACACTTTCGGACTCTGCAAACGTACACGCTGGTCCAGACCCGGGAATGAATCTGCATCCCCACGCAGGCTTCAGAAACCTGCATCTAGAGCCAAATCCACCGAGGCTCCCGGCTCCCGCCCGCGCGCACAGCCGGCGCGTCCCCAGCGCGCAGTCCTGCCACCCCGCGTCGGCGCAGGGTTTGGGGACCCCCTGCCTCCACGTGCCCAGCACTCCGGGTTCAGGCCGGGACTCTGCGCAGGCAGCTCGCGGTACCCTTTCACCTCCCGGACTCCTGGCAACGCAGAGCGTGGCGAGCGCGGCGGGAGGACGTAGGCCAGGCTTGCCCAGAGCCGGCCAATCCCGAGCGTCCATGCAAATGAGGCTCCTTTTCGGGGCTGGGCTCCGCCTCCCGCGGCCCGGGCCGTAGTAACCATTCATGGGGCCCGAGCGCGGCTGCAGCCGGGTTCCGCAGCGCTCGCTGCCAGCGCCTCCTCTCTGCTCCGGGTCTTCGCCTTCCTCTCACAACTGATCCTGGTGGGGATTTTTTTTTTTTTTTTTCTAAATTGGAACGGTGGGGTGGAGCAGGGAGGGGGACCTGGAGGAAGGGGAAAGATTAGGCAGCTATCTCCTCCCGAAACAGGTGATGCTTCAAAATCGTGACCACTTTCTGGAGACAGCTCTGCAGCTTGGGAGGATGCGGGCGACCTAGGGTGGAGGCCCTGAGGCGGCAGATCTGAAGCCACCGAGGATTAAAAAACAACAAAAAAGCAAAACAAAACAAAACAAAAACAACCCAAACTTTGACTACGTCGCGCGGGAAGCAGAGGACTGGTTATTTTCTTTCCAAGAGGGCCTCAGACTTCGACACTTGCTCCCCTTTCTCGGATTGCTAACACGGTTTGCTGGCAGCGTTGAAGAGTCGGGACAGTGTTGTAAAGTCACGTTTAAGGCGACTGTAGAGGATCAGACTTTGTAAATGTTTGGGATTCAAGATACATTAGGAAGAGGACCAACTCTGAAGGAGAAATCGCTGGGCGCCGAAATGGATTCGGTCAGGTCCTGGGTCCGGAATGTCGGCGTGGTGGACGCCAATGTCGCCGCGCAGAGGTAAATGAAACTGCTCTGGTTATGCTCTGAAAGTCTCTCGCTGCGCCTGTCTCCCCCGTGTGCCCCTCTTCCCTGCTCCCTGTCTCTGCTTTTTTTCTCTCTGCCCCCATCTGTCGTCCAGGCCGCACGTTCTGGGGCCCTCCCTGGGGCGGGCATGTCGCTGCGGCCGGGGCGGGGGGACACTTAACCAGCCACCAACCCTGTAGTTTCTACACCACCGAGGGTCATAAGTGGTTCTCCTTCACCCCTACCCCACAGTCCACTCTGGGGGCAAAAAATAAAAGTAGCATCCCAGCCTCGCATCTCATGTTTATTGCTGGACCTCAGCTGCGCGTGAGGACCGGAGCCGGCAGCCCAGCTCAGCAGCCGAGCCGGCTTCTCGGTCACTCCCAGGTTCCCCACGCCGCCGGCGAGAGCCTCTCCTCCCGCATCCTCCCGGATGGTACCGAGAGAACCGGAGCCCAGCGGCCAGACGGTGGCGGCGGCGAGAGGAGCGGGGGTGGGGGGCGGGGGGAGGCCGGAGAGGCTGGCGGGGAAGGCGAGGGGAAGGGGGACACGCTAGCGGGTCCTGGGTCAGAGAGAGCGGGCCAGAGGAACTGAGGCTGGCGAGAAATTAAAGAGGAAGGACCGCGCCGCAGCAGAAGTAGCGGAAGAGGGAAGAGGAGAGGGAAGGAGACGCATCCACTCTAGCCTTAGGGATGACCAGCCTCCAGTTCTGCGCGTTCCTAAAGTTGACTTTGTTTCTGAGTCTCCGCGTGCTTGGACGGTAAAGAGTTGTCCCGGGTGCCACCCCACGAAGACATCCAGTCCTCAGTCCTCATCATCGCTTCTGAATTGGGATTCGTGGCCTTCGTGGCCCTGTCTACGAGAGGCTTACTCTCTCGAAGCCCATAAACTTCCTCCAAGATTCGCCTCGCCACCCGCGTTCCTTTCCGTCCTCAAGTCCGGACATCACGCTGAGAAAGTACCTCTTTTTCTAGACAGGGCACATCCCCAGGTGTCCCGGGTAGAGCGAACTGGCCGCTACCCTCGAAGGAGTGGAAGCAGAAATCATCTACCGGGTGGCTGGGGCGGCTGCGGTGCCCGCCTTGAAGCGGTCCCTGAATCACTGCTACTGCTGTGACCTCGCCTTCCCGCAGTAGTTTGCGGACTGGTCCCGCAGCAAGTCAAAGACAGCACCGCAGACCCACTCCTTAGCGGGGCTCCTTAAAGACGCCTCCCTCATTTGACTTTCCTTCCTGAATCAAATACTTTCAAAAGTTGGAACAGGCAGGGGTGGGGGTAGGGAGGCGGTTTGTAGCCAAAATGTTACAACCTTCAAAAGAGAGAAAATGATCGTGCACAAGACAGAAGTCCGGAAGACCTCAGAACCCCGTCTCCCAGCAGCCCTCGCCTGCACCCCAAGTTTTTCAGTTAAAGCCAACTTGACACTAACTGAGATAGGTAGACAGCGAGGTCGTGTGCATGCACTGAAGGCTCTCGGGGGCTCCGGGTCCGGCAGTGCGGATTTTACACGGTCAGCGGTTTGGACTGCGGTTACTCTGAAAATCAGCTTGAGCCAGCTCACCTGGGTCTCAGACTCGGAAGCTGTTTGCGTTTCGACTTCTCAGTTTCAGCCGCTCTTGGGGAGCAGGGGCAAAGGTCCTCAATGACGTGTCCTCCACAGTGGCTCCGTATGCTCAGTCAAGACTGTGAGAACTCTTCAGTGCCTCTGTCCTGGACGCAACTTTTCAGTAGAGTGAGAGAAGCCGTGGGTGAGGCCTGCAGGATAAAGAACTGGGCTCAGGCAGGCAGTGGCACAGGTTGGGTAACTCATAATGAAGTAAGAGAGACGCTCCTTCAATGCAGAAGAGGTGCTGATCCCCTTAAAGCCCGTGGCAGCGCCAGATTCTGCTGGTCACCTGAAGAAGGTAGGACAGGGTGCCGCATCTGGGGGACTGCTCTAGACCCGGTCCTGAAGCCCTGGTCTTTGGTTTCCACTAAAGGTCAGACTACCATTTGGTCATAGGACTCCCGAGGCTCTATTCTGCGCGGTGGAAGCAGCAGACCTGGACCCTGCCTTTCCGCAGGGTGTTTATTGCGCCTTCTCTAAGGAGAATCAGCTTCTTACTCGAAACTGATAAAGGGCCTGAAAGATTCAGGACCCCACGTGGGGTGGTTTGGGCTCATTAGTAACGCTCCCTAACACGTCCATCTCTCTTAATCTGTCTGCTATCTCCCTCCTATTTCTCTCCGCAGCGGAGTCGCCCTGTCCCGGGCCCACTTTGAAAAGCAGCCTCCCTCTAACTTGAGGAAATCCAACTTCTTTCATTTTGTCCTGGCGCTCTACGACAGGCAGGGGCAGCCAGTGGAGATCGAGCGCACCGCCTTCGTGGACTTCGTGGAGAATGACAAAGTAAGCGAATCGCCGACACCCCCTGTCCGAGGCCTAATAACTCCCTGCAAAGCACTAAAGATTCCATCTGTCACCTGCGACACTTTCCTGTTCGCATCATCAGGGATGATAAATTGAGCCTTCTCACCCCCAGCCTCTAAATCAGTCCATTTCCCCAGCACGCACCTCCTTCGGTCGGCGCTGCCGGAGCGCTCTCCGCTGTGCGCACCTAGGGCTTGGGGGTCATTAGGAAAGCTGGGCCTCCGACTGACCCCCCACTCCGGAGAAAACGGTCTTTGGACTGTAGTTTAAAAAGTATACCCAACGTTGCAGCGGTCTCCTGATTATTTTTATTTTCGCCCGACAGCCAGAGCAGGTGGGTTGAATCGTTGCTAGGTGGGAAATCAGCCCAGCCTGGGTCTGCCTTGTCCGGTTAGCTTCTTTATCGGCCTTGGTCCCAGACACAGCGCCTTCTTCGAACTTAAAACCTGCTTTGGGGGCTGGATTTGATCTTAAATGAAGGGCTGTTTACTTAAACCGGTATGTGGTCAACAGAAAAATCTCTTGCCCGGACTGAGTTCCAGTCTCAGTTGTGCAAAGCAGACCCTGGCGCAGCCAGTTTCTAAGGTCCCTGAGCTCTAGGCCTGGGGACCAGAGTTTTGGGGACAGGGCCGAAGGACACGGCGGTTTGCCCGTTTGCGGAGGGAAGTCTAGGGGCTTGCTAAGGACAGACATTGCCAGATGGATGGGGTGGGGCCTATTTAAAGGCAGCGTTGGTGCTAGTGTCTGGTCATCACTGCTGGGTGGGGGGTGTGCTCGGAGGACGATTTTAAGAGGGAGAGACAAGGGCTGGAGAAGGTCAAGTGGCTGCAAGCCTTGGCAAATTTCCCAAGGTAGCCAGTGCCTGGAGACGCTCTTTGCCCTTTGACCTGGGGCTAGAGAAGGGGTTGTTTAAGGTGGTCTATTTCTCTTATTTTCAGGAACAAGGCAATGAGAAGACCAACAACGGCACCCACTACAAGTTACAGCTCCTTTACAGCAACGGTAAGTGGCGGCCCGGGCAGAAGCACAACCGACTGGCAGCCAGGAGTTGCGGCTCTGGCTGCAGCGGTCTCGGGTGGGCAGGTCTGCGGGAGGCATGGTTAGGAATGTGGATTGGGAGGTACCAGCCTCCGGGACAGCTCGGTTTAGGTATTTGTGGCACAACGGGCTGCCTAGGTCTGATTGCAGGACAGAGACAGGGTTGCGGTGTGAAAGGGTCTCTGCCACTCTTGACTGCTATTTGTCTCCTTCCCCGCAGGCGTGCGCACAGAGCAAGATCTCTACGTCAGGCTCATCGACTCGGTCACCAAGCAGGTGAGCTCCGGAGGCAGCTACCTTAAGCCCCCCACTCCCTAGATTGTCTGTGACTTTCACCTCCTGTGTGGTTTACTGTATCTGACTTTCCAACTCCCTCCACCGTGTGTCCACTCTGGGAATTTTTTTCCCTCTCCCATTTTGCCCTGTTTCATCTGCTATAGGAAAAGGTAGTGGGGGCGAGCAAAGAGATGACGACAGTAAAGCATTACCGGAGATTTAGTCTCCGAATTTCCCTCCTTGCTAAAAAGTAAGGGATAAACATTTTTATCGGTTCTCGGGTTGGAATTACCAGACAACCGCCCAGGTTCTGTGCTGTGCGGGAACTTCTAAGCAGGTAGTGACAGGGAGCGGATTTTGTGCTTGCTCTAAAGTCCGGTCTTTGCCTCCACTCCGGTCCATGCCGTCCTTCCTGGCAGCCCATAGCATACGAAGGACAGAATAAGAATCCAGAAATGTGCCGAGTTCTGCTGACCCACGAGGTGATGTGCAGGTAAGAGTCACCTTTTCCCTCAGGCTTGGTTGGGAAGCCCGACGACAGGGGCTCTGGTTTGGGATTCCTGGGTCTGATTTGCAGGAGTAAAGGCATCTGGTGGATTTGTCTCTGGGCCGATCCACTATAAAAGTCCTCTCAGTTCAGGCCAGTTTCTTAAGAATATAGCCCTTAGACTGGGGAAGAAAACTCAGAAGATGCGAGGTTCCACCCCTGACTTGGAGGGAGTTTCTTCTGCAATGTGGGAGATCTCAGCTGTCTGTGCCTAGCCAGCAGGTTGAGTTTGGAATGGGGACTCATCATAAACTTGTTTCAGCTATGGCCAGGGACAGCTTTATTCCTGCCCTACCCTTTCAGGGTAGGTTTTCAGGAGTACCACTTGTGGAGTTAGTGTCCTAAGTCCCCGGGATTCTCTTAGTTGGATGAGGGACCACCAGGGGACTGAGAGGCCCATATCTGGGGCTCTTCCCTCCTCCTAGGCATCTGTCCTTCACAAGAGGCTCTTTTTTTTTTTTTTTTTCCTACCAGGAAAGTCACTTCTAGACTGCCAGACTTCTCCCCAGGACATTTCCTTAGCTCAGAAGGAACCACAGGGCAGAAAAATCAGTCTGGTTCCCAACCAGTGGGTGCAAGGGTAGAGAGAGGGGCCCAGTTTTGGGAGGTCTGGGGTCCTGGGAAAGATAGATTCAGAGGGTCACATTGAGAAAGGTGCAAACTACTGGAGTTTGGCCAGAGATGGAGCTATCCTGTTTTGAACCCTGTATATTGTCCTCTTTCTTCAACTTAAGTAGAAGAAAATTGGAAAAAATAAGAGAAGAAAAGGAAAATCACCTTCACATTTAATCTTTGAACTAAAGTTTTTGGAGTGCCCAGTGTGTGCTGTCTATTGGGCAGGGTGTTAATAAACGGAAAGAATGCAGGGAGACTCTGGGAAGAATGTGGTTATTTCAGTATAAAAATGTAGAAGTCTATTTGATACATACATTCACTCCCCCCCCCCCCCCCGCCTCCGGGGC